TCCCTACAAAAATCTATTTTTTCACGTGTTAGAATAATTAACTTTTTCTAAAATGTTGATATAACCTAGATTTTTAGGAAATTACTCAAATAAGCTAATAAAAAAATAGAGAGTCCGTTGCAAAATTTGAGGGTTTTGCCCTGTTGAAGCTCAAAACGAGTATGGTTCTTCAATAAAATCTTGTAGACTTTTCAGCGGTTTTTGAGCGCGCGCACATCGTTCAAAAGTAGGCAGTCACCTTAAATTATTACAATGAATCAGTTGGTCCTTAATCTATGTAAACATATATTGCCTTTCAATTATCATTTTCAATAAAACTCATGACGTCAGTCACAAGGATCGTATGAGATCAGAGGAGAACCACTTTCGAAAACATAAAAAAAAAATCGGCCGCGTGAAAATGACCATTGGAAAAGCTCAACATATTTTTTAAATCTAAAAATAGATATGACCTATCCAGATATCCAGATACCCAAAAAGAGGTATGGAAAGTCGGGTTTCTAGATACTCAAAAATCGCTGCGGAGCTCCTGAAACGACTGCTGATTGGTCCCTACGCCCTATGACGTCTTGGTTATTGCTCTGTTTAAAAAATAAATATGACCGGTCCGAATGCTCAGATAGGGGTCAGGGAGATAGCTCCGGAGTATACCTGGTTACTGGAATGGCTTCTGATTGGTTCCTACGACCTATGACGTCATGCTTTGGGCTATGATGTCACTACTCCTAGYCGTAGAAGTACGATGACGTCACTCTCTGGTGGATCAACCGATCCATCCTGATCCACCCGTTGGTGAACGCACATTTTATATACTACTATATGAATATCTATGGGGGAGGTGTGGTCTCAGTCTTCACTGCGTATCCTCGTATTCGCGTATCCACTCCAACATACACCTTCATATCTACAAAGAGAGGGGTGGTGTTCATCACTGCGTATCCGCATATCCTAAAATTTAAAGGAATGGTGTGAAGTGCGTGGGATTCGATAGCTGTACCCAAATAAGAATGTACAAAGAAATTCGGAAAATAAACGTCGAGGGCGAACAAATCAAACTATCAATATTTGCTGATGATATGTCTACATTCCTGAAAGCACTAAGCCCTCATAATTATTTTACAGTTGGTACTTGTGAATATTTCACCAAAATAGCAAAATAGAATGCTAGCACTTTTGAAGAATTTACATCAGAAAAAATCTGTTAACATTTGGTCAGCTTTCAAGTTCACGCCCCCTCATGTGACCCAAATAAATTGTCTCAAAAACTAACACGGTTTTTGGATCTTTTATCAAAATAATGACTATCTAGGCAAAAAACAGAAGTGGATTCAGTT